TGCAACAACAAAATATCTGACCATTAAAATTAATATGTTAATTAAGTGTGAGAGATAGGTAATTTAGTCAAGGCAATAAAAAAGCATTTAAATCTTAAAGCTTGAAGCAATTTACCAATCAGCTTAATGTTGGGGTTCCTCTTTTTAGCTTCTTTCATCAGCCACCATTCATAGCCCCGGAAGTAGTTCTCATCATTTTCATAGTGCATATGGGAGGGTTCAGTACCATCTAGGAAGGAAAGAGACAGGTAGCTCACAATTATCCTCTGTGTCATAAGCTGTAACACATGGCAAAGTTTGCTGTATTGCTCACTGCCATAGTATGCAAGTACATTTCTCTGATATGGTTCACAAGTTCTTTGGTATGTATTTCAGAGCAAAATGAAGAGTGGGAGGGAACATGCAAGACTTGCCACTCTCTGTTCTTAGCATATTAACTTAGCATAAATTTAATATTTTTGATTTTTAAGGAGCTCTGCCTGCTTTAACATCAGATGTGATTAAAAAAAATTAAACAAGCAGCTTATTTCTAAACCAAAAAAAACCAAACAAAAGAAGGTTATAGTTTGTTTATTCTGTGCAAGTAAGTCCAGGGAGAAAAAAGAAGAACTACAATGAGATGTTTCAATCACAGGAAATAAGGGGTTTTTATTTTTACAGTAAAAGATGCAGTTTATAATTTCCATGGTGTTCAGTGACTGCAGGAAGAGTTTTTGGAATTGAACACTATATACTGATTTTCCTCAGGCAAAGGTAAACCAACTAGAAAGGTGCAAAAGAATCAGTGTTGCAAGGGAAGCCATTACACACAAAAGTCAAGTTATAACTTGTGTACACAACTGCAACAATTATTTATGCTAAAATATATGCAGAGACCTCTTTTAATGAGACTTTTTTTTAATGAAGCCTGCTTAAACAGGACATTTCATTACAGAAAATAGGACTGATATTTTTACCTTACTAACACAGAATAATTAGATTCCAAATTTCGACTTCTGCCAGAAGACGACTCCTTTCTCCTCTCACCAGCAACTCATTAACAAATATTGAGCTTTTAAATCCAGTATAGTACTTTTCATCATGTTAATTTTTGCAAAAGAAAGTAAAGCAAAGAACAAAAAACAGTATCTAATTATACAAACACAGGCATTACAAATAAATATATATATAATGCCACAAAACAAGATGCTGTACTTTCTGTTTATCAACTGCATCTGGTTTAAGTCTGTTTTTGATGTGGCCAGACTTACATCGGGGAAAGATAAAAAAAAGGAAAAGAAAAGAAAGATAAGAACTGTCATCACTGCGTCTCAGCTTCTGATTACAAGCAGTTACTAAACAGTTTCTCCTATTTGTGAATGTAGTCGGCTAGGCAAATTACACCAAGACATTTTCATTTGCAATTCTGTTCAGGAAAAAAAAAAGAAAAAATAGTAGTGGCTGTCAGCCATTGCCACTCCAGTGAAATGTAGCAGCTCATTAAACCAAAGAAATGTCATTGCTTCTGACCAGCTGTCTTTGCATTTTCATGCTTCTAAGTATTGCAAAACTGGTGTTTGAGAAATGCGCAGCAATGCAGAAAGCTACTGGGGGGGGGAAAGAACTCATTTGCTCTAGAAGGCAACCTATTAACCATATGATAGTGAGAACTGTCTCCATAAGGTTAGTATAAATCTCTCTTTACTAGTTAGCAGATACATTGGTTTTTTGCAACTTCAGTACAACTACAGACTGCATTTCCATGCCTCAGCTAAAGTGATGTGCGCAGAACATGTTACTTACAGCAACACTGAAACAAGAAGTTAAACGTTGCTCACGCAAAATCCATACCTGTTGACTGCCCATCACCTCCAATCTCTACTTTGAGAATATGTAAAGAAGCACCAAAATTAGGCTAGAAAAAAAGAGAGACAAAACCAAACAGAATCCTGCTGTTAAGAAGAATGTGTTAAGTAAGGATACAATTTTGAGTACGCTGAAAATGTAACACTTTTTTTTTAAAACACCCATTATAAATGCAATGAGAGATACACAGAGTTCTGCTTCAAAAGAAAATCAAGCAGTGTAAATAGTACATTGGTCTTTAACAGGTTTCGTTGACTCTTGCACTGTTAACAACGCACCTCCACAACTGTGCAGATTTTAAATTGGTTATGCTCAAGCAAATACTGAACCACTCTTAAAGTAGGACATGGGCTACATGAGGAACACAATAGTATTTCAATGTTATTAGAAGTCAAATTGTTTCCTTTTAAAATCAAATTATTGAAGTCAATGTCTCTGTAAATAATTTATTCTTTGGTGTAAAGGGTTATCCTGCTTACGTGACAGAACATACACACAGGTCAGAAATAACCTGCTAACCAGATGCAGAAAGGTAAGTGAGGGAAAAAACCTACCACAATGGAAAACCCACCTAATCCACTATCCCCCTCCCCTGGCATCTGACTGGTAGAGACAAATATAAAATTCAAGCACATATAGGTGACCCTACTCCTAGTATGCTCCTCCAGCCATCAGTGGCTTAAGAGTTGCTCAAGCCAGAAGTTACAATTAATCATTATTTTAATAACTACTGGCCTCCTCTATGGAATTACCCAAATATAATTCTGATATCTAAAAGAATGTTGTAAGACATAACAACGCATTTTGATTAAAAAAATAAGTTGCATAGACAGTAGTTTGTTTGGCTTACAAGTTTTGGATTTTTTTATTTGCTTTGAAATAAAAAGTACGTTTTTCCAATTTACCATTTCTCTTCCCCACATTTCTGATTTTAAACTTCTAATACTTTTGTTCTCCCATTCCCATCACAAAAGTTGACTGACATTAAAAGGCAAGGGGAATAAGGAAAGGAAAGGTATACCCCCTCCACAGTACAACACCTTAAGAGGCTTTGGAGAAAGAACATGTCAAAAATTCTTTGAAAATCATAATCTCTGAACTAGATTTTCTTTTACCACGTGCCTATTGATTCCTTCAGAAAAATTGTATTAGTAACACACAGCTTCAGTCTCCAAAAAACATAGGGTTTGATTGCTCAGTCACACATTATGCCTTACTCTACACTTTAATTCTTTAAACTACACAGTAAATTATTCCCCTCCAGCCATCTGGATTGCATTACTTGAAAGTGACATGACATCCTCTTCAGCAGAGTAACTTACAGAGCCAAAAGCAAAACAACCTATTAATGTCCAGTGCAATAATCTTGCCTCATAATAAGTTGGGCAATTGCACAGGTTACATTTGCTAACTAAGGCAGCTTACAAACCAATGACATTTATACACCTTCTAGAGAAACTGCAGTTATACTTGAGACTAGATAAGCTACTAAAATCATGCAGCCTGTACAGTCATTTTCATGTTAGATTAATCTATCTGTACTCCAAAAAATAAAAACTGCCTCAAAGACCCACTTACTGTCATCACTACGAACACCTAAATTCCTCATTTTAGCCATAAAAATGATTTCTCATGGATGATTTCCCATGAATGATCAATGTATGTTTAATACATTTTTGAAAATGTATTTTTAAAACATATTTTGAAAACATGAAAGGAATTTTCACAGTCATTTGAACAAAAAGACTCTTGAACAAAATCCTGGTTGTCAAAAACAACAGTAGATTCTTTATAAGATAGGATATTGTCTAATTTCAGGTAGCATTAAATATACTGTAGTTGGAGTTCCAACATTACACAATCACAAATTCTGCATAAAATTAAATATTACTGTAGCAGTGAAACCAACTTTACCTTGAACAGGTAATCTAAAATCTGGGAGCGGTAAGGTTCTTGGTAGTTCACCAGGAGTCTAGATGTGGCCTAAAACGGAAAGAAAACATGAAAATATGAAAACCCAACTCAAATGCTTAGGTATGTCCCAGTTTTTCAGTCTAGGACTTTCACACGGCTAACAAACCTACAAAAATAATTATAGCACCAGAAACTCATCTAAGCCCCTATACAAACGCGTTTCTAACCCTTCAACTGTGCATTTCTGGTTTTGCAGATTGCAATTGCCTGCAATTCACTGCAAAGAGAGTCCAGAGAACAGAGAAACAGAGACTACGCAGGCTTATGGCACGAAAACGCACGTCTCTCCCGGTATCATTTCTCCCACTCAACTCTCCCTGCTTCGGTTCACCGTATACCAAAGGCAACAGGAGGCACAGAGGCAGGAGGGCAAGGAAAGCATCCCGGCAGGTCCATGAGTGAGTAAAAACTCCAGGGACTTCACGGCTCTGCTGACTGGACCACAGGAGAGACGACGACCGGCCGTTGGCTCTTCCAGCATTTTAAGACGCAGAGACGAGGAGCTACGAAGACCCTCTACAGAAAAGCCCATCCTGGCTTAGCTCTCCTCTACTGGCAGCCGGGACATGGCTGTCCCTCGGCACCCCAAAAAGACCCTGCCAACCCTAAAAAAACTGGAGGGCTGGGGCGAAGCGGAGCCCGACTCCAGCTGTCCTTGCAGACAGGACCACTGCCCGCACCGCTCCCCTCAGCCCCCCAAACCTCCTCCTCCGAGCCCCATCATGTCGTGCGTGCGTCCTCACATCCCCCAGCCCTCACGGCTCCCCTCCGGAACCCCCTCCTCCCCTGCCCAGGCCCCGCCGAAGCCACCACACATTCCCATGGGACGGAATGTCCAGCCCCCGTCCCCTGTCGCCCCGAGGAGGGCAGTAGCGCTGCCAGCACCGCAGCCCCGGGGGCGCCGCTCACCCCGCCGCCGCTCACAGCCCCGATCCCGTCGAATTGCCTGCCCAGCCCGTCCGCATCGTCCAGCACGTAGATGGCCGTCAGCAGCGGAGCGGCACCGACCCTGGGGGGTCCCGGGCCGCAGCTACAGCCGAGCAGGATCGCACCCCACAGCAGAACCACGCACCCCATCCCAGTCCCAATCCCGACCCAGCTCCGCTCCCGCCCCGTTCCTGCAGCGCCTCGGCACTGCCCGGCAACGCGCGTCACGTGACCACACCGCCTGGCACCACCGGGGGGCGGGGCGTCAGCTCCCGCGCCGCCATCTTGCTCCAGGGAAAAGCGGAGGGAGGGGAACACGCTTCAACCTTTACGAGCAACTCCTCCCCAGCTGAAGTCAACAGTCGCCATTTTGACAAAGGGCAAGGCTGGTGAGGCGCGCACCGCCATGCTGGAACTGGCCTTGAGCGGCGAGTGAAGCTATCGTGGAGCCATCTTGGGCGTGGGAAAGCCCATGGCTGTGAAGCGAGGAGGGGTTTATGTGGGAGCACACCGGGAATTGCGTTCAGTCCAGAGTGACCAGGCGTGGGTGGGGGCAGAGCCCAGCTGACCCTGTTTTATGGAGCCTCTGACCCTCGTTTTCGGGGCTTCTGACAAGGCTAGGTACTTGTCCTGGGTGAGGAATGGCCTTTTCCAGTGCCATTCTCATTCCCAGGCCCTCGCCAGCGCCTCGGAGCCAGTTTCCTGGTTTTGCCCCGCTCTCAGGCTGCCACCAAATCCTTTGAAGAGTCGGCACAAGTCGGCGCTTTGAAGGAGCACATTCCAGCGCGCTGTGAGAAGGACCTTTGATCGCCGCGGGGGAAGCGGCAGGGAGCGGCCCTGGGCCCGCGCCAGTCCCGCAGGGGCGCGGCCCCCCTGCCCTTCCCAGGGAATCCCGGTTGGCCTCAGCTGCGTCAACACGACCCCAGAGAGGGATTCTGAACGTGGAGTTTAACATATAAGGGGCTGAAGGAGCCTTTCTGTTCTACGCCTTCAGGGGTGCGCTGTGGGGCATCCGCAACAAAGCGTGAGCAGCTGAGGTGGTGCCACACGCCCAAAGTTTCCGTGGGGATAGGCAGAGTGGTCCTTCAGACTCCAGCGTACAAGCATTCGGCTCAGAAGAAAAGTATTCAGGAGGTCGACAATCAGCTTGATTGTCCTATAAAATTCATAATGGGGAGCTCTCAGTGTGCTGAGAGGAGATGCTTCATGTGTCCAAAGGAGGAAGGAAGCACCACAAGATGCCGTTGCTGATGTCCTGTGGACATCGTGTAAGAGCTGTGGAAAAGCCCAGGTTTTGCATGTTTCTAGCCATAAAGAATGCTGTTACTCGAGCCTCTGCGGCTCTTGTCATTTGGGGATCTAATGTCTCAGTGATGACATTACCTGGCTGACGTTTCCTGTTTATTTCTTTTTAAATAACAATACCAAGCACTCACAAAACATTTTGTGCTTTGCAGCAATATCAAGCATTAACTAATGAACCTGCTCACACCCAAATGAGCTATACGATATCATTATTACATGTAGAAGGACAGTGACTCCTCAGGGCTACAGTGAGTCAGTGGCAGAGGTAGAATTGTGCTCATGGTCCTACTTAACATTCATTCCAGCAGACTGTACAGCTTTGCACACCTGGAAGGTTTGCAAAAGCATCATAAATTATTAGTTGGTTAATTTTGATAGTTTCTTAAATAAATGCATCAATTTATTCCACACAGAAAGCTTCAGCTATGAAATTCAGTCTCTTAATCACTCATAGGAGCTTAAAAGTGTCAGTTTTCAAAACTCATGTTTGCATCCTATGATGTGGTGAGTGCCTCCCCTTTTCAGGTGATACAGAAAAACATTCTCAGAATCTGTTTTGATGGAAATAAAAGGATGTTTTGGTGTGACTCTGTGAACTTTATTCTGCATTAAGAATCTTGACCTTGCTATGAACCTTCTTTACATATTTGTTCATGGCCCAAGGACATATGATCTAGACCCTTTGTAAGTCCAAATATATCCAGGAAAATTATTGAGGACTTATTCATTGCTTCTTTTCTAGATAAGGTAGTTTTCCACTTTTAATGCTTTTCTATTTCAGTTTTTTTTAGTTGATACTACATTAATCTCAACCAACACTAAGAACACCTGTGGTTCCAAGATAGCCAGATATCTGATATACCATGTGTGTCCAGATCTCAAAAAAACCCTGGAAAACTGTGCTGCTTAAATCAGACATTAAATTGTTGCATATGGACACAGTCAAGAGTTGGTTTTTACATATAGCTTTACTTCCAGAACACATAAAAGGCATTGTATCCTCTTTTTATCTATCTTCCTTTGACCTTTCAATTCCACTATCAGTTGTTACAGCAAAGAACTGTAGAAATGTTTCAACTATGTTTCTCTATTTCTAATAATGATAAGAACTGATATTTCTTTATCAAAGTGTAGGAATCCTCAACAAAACAGCAGAACCAGCGCACTGGACACCATTCTTAGTAGGTACCATGTTACCAAAAGGCAGGTGGAAAGTGATAAACTTTGTCTAATGACTTTTCTCTCAATGAAAATGAAGGTATGATTTAGTAATTTAGGCTTCAGGTAACAAGCACATCAGTAAAAAAATTGTGGATGAAAAAGAAGGAAACAAATCTCTCCATCCAGTGGTTAAATGTTATGGAGCTGTCTGGTATTGTTCTCAAGGAAGTCTGTATGTCTCTATTTTAGAGGTTTTAAATTTATTCATCTGTTTCATTTCTCCTTAGCATCTGAATCATCACAGGACAGTTTTTTGTGTTGCCCCACATTTAAAGTGAAATTGTATCCAGTTTCTTAAAGAATTGTATCATTCCAAACAGAATTTAAGAAAAAATACACACAGTAAATTATTCTGATCACAGAGGGGAAAGAGAACTGTGCTTATGTAACAACTTTCCACCTATTTGAATAGAATTACCTGCTAAAAGAATCACTCCTGTGAAAGCTGTATCCAACCTCAGATTCAGTTTATATAAAAATACATAAATATGCAACCTGTCACAGTGTATAAAATTCTGTTATCCTTTGTTAACTAGAACTATTCTCAAACTTCCCATAAATTCTGAAAATACTTAATTCTTTTTCCACAAAGTCATGAAGTCATTGTGATGTATTTTTAGCTCTTCTTAAGTGCATTCTTACTTGATTCTGTGATAAATTTGTAGGGAAAGGAAAGTGAGGTCCTTCAGTCAAAAAAAGATGCTATATTTTAAACATATACAAGTAAACACAAATAAAACATGGTATTTTATTTCTGTGGATTGGTTTCTCTGCAGAACGTAATGTCTCCTAGCTAACAGATGTAAAATATATTCTGCTCATGTAATTAGGCAATATTTTCAATTAAACTTTTTTAAACTCTCTAAAAGTATTCATAGATGTAGCAAGGTTGGTACTATCCTTTTTGCATATTTATTTTTAATTATGTAATCTTTTTTTCCCCATGGATAAGCTTAGATTAACAAGGAATTGGGGAAAAAAAAAAGAAGGCCAAAAAATTAAGAAATGTGTGAAATGTGTGACTCATTTTCTAAGAGCAGCTTCCTGTCTTGTATCTGATAAAGCAGAAGCAGACACTTTAACACTTTTTCTCAGAAGGAGACACGGGTTACACTACCAATGGTACAACAGGGACACTGCTACACAGGGACACATGGCTGCCAAGGTAAGTGTTCAAAATCCAAGAAGTCAGACACACAACCTATATTCTGGAACAGGCTTCAAGCTACCTCTCCCTTAATGTGAGGTTGGCATCATACAGTAAAAAGAAGGGACACAAAAGGGGCTGGAAAAGATTTCTCTGGGGGAAGGATTATTTGAATCTCAGCACAACTGAAACATGAGATTAAGGGGCAAATGACAACTAAAGATTGATTTAAGGAAGACATGCCAGCTTGATTTTTGTTTGTTGTAATGATATTGCCATGATCAAAATACCTGCTGCTTATGAGAGGGAGTTTTCAATATTCTGAGCTGTCCTATCACTGCAAAAGTGCCTCAGGCCTCAGGGGATTCCAGTAGCTCTTCTGTTATTGTTCTTTAGTATTTTATGGTATTTTATGGCACTAACAAAATACTCAGTGAGATATATATATATATATATATAAACAAAGCTTAAAATTAGCAGAAAAATAAGCTCTGGTAAAAGTAGCTTCTTAGAATACTGAGTATCATGTACATGAAAATATTTTGTAAATCTTTCTTCATGCATAGAGGAAAACATGATGCACATAATGATATAGCAAAATAATACTTGCCTCCATGGCCTATATCCTGAAAGACATGGCTATTTCTTTCTATTTGCTCACATTAACAGAATGTTTCTGCTCAATAAAGCAGTCCATAAAGTGTATTTCCAATTTAAAAAGGCTGAGCTCTTTAAGACCTGTTGGAGTCTCTACAGAACCTTATGCAGACCCATGGGTGAAATTTAGTGTTGCTTGAGGAAAAATGCTGTTCATTTTAAGCAAAAAAAGTCCATGTTACTGAAAGGTGTATCTCAGTTCTCCTGAACTGTGAAGTTTCTCAAGGAAATCTACTTGGCAATAGTTATTTTTGAGAACACAAAGCAATCTACTTTGCTGAAATTGCTTTAAGAGAAAAAAGAAATCCAGAAAGTTGTCTGTCTTTCCATCTTATGGTTGATGTATGGTATCACCAGTACGGCATCTACCGCACTAGCTCACACAGCACTGTTCCTTTCTTCCCTTAGAAAGTTGTTTACAGATTAGAGTATTTATGTATCTATGCTTATCAAAATTTAACTTTTACTTTATTACTTTCAAAATGTCATCAATGGACAGACTACATAAAGCTCTTTGAGCCTGAAGAAGATACTGTAGGAAAGCATTGATACAAATACAATATATAATTACTACCTTTCTCTAGAAACTTTCACAAGGTTCCTTTACAGGCTTGTTTGCATACGTTACTTGAAGCATAACATTTGCCTGTCCATTTCTCTATATTTTAGTTCTTATTGACTCTTCAGAATTCTTGTACAGCAGGTTTTTTGTAGCAAAATGACAGAGGCAGGAATTATGATAACAATTGAATAATGTGTCTAAAAGAAAAAATTACTGTTAAGAATATTTTTTTTTTCATTTGAAATGCAATTCATACCAAAACAAGTCTATAAAATAAGTCAGAATTAGTCACAATGGGTTTGGACCATGAAAGTCAAACCATTAACCTACATCATTGAACAGAAATTCCTCTGTAGTTTGTTTTGTTTGCTTTAAATAAAAATCAGTGGGGTAAATTATCAAATATTGGTTTTTTAGAATAGCTGTAAGCCAATGCCATCCTCCTTGGCAAAACCAGCAGGTACGCTCAGTAGCTGACAGAAAACCTGGGAATGCGTTCAGGTAAGCAAAATCATCTTGCATTACAAAGTCCTAATTATCAGAAAAACAACTGAGCAACAGAGTATGATATGGACTACATCCACTGAAATAAGACCCCAAGCAATTTGACTGAAATTTCATGTAATCAGGGAAAAACAGTGCTTTCTGCTTTATATTTCTGTGCAAGAAACTGCAGCGTGCATTGTGGTATGCTTCATTTGCTGGCTCTTTGACACACTTAAGTATAGGTCATCAATACATGCCAGAATGACACACTTCTCATATTATCCTGATTGAAAGCATGTCTTCATATAAGTACCATCAATGTGTCATCACAGTTGGGACATGGATTACCTGAATGTTAAACAGTCTCCAGGGCTGCATTCACAGAAGCTAATGAACATACTGTTTTAAAATAAAAGAAAAAGATGGGGTACAGTGACATGTGAATGTGGAGGACAGAAAAAACTTTCCAAGATGGCAAATTTCATGTGGTCTCAACTCATTTTTTTTGCATTTCATCTTCAGTGGCCCAGCCTGCCATTGATCAATTATACCTTCAGATATTAGCTCCTTAAGGCAGATGGCAGAAGAGCAAAGCAAAGTCTTGCCCCAAATAACATGTGGTTTATTCAGACAAGTGCAATATAAGGACAAGTGTTTTACCCTATGATCAGTGAGATCAACAGAGCAAAACTCTGAGAAACAATGAGCTAAAATGAGAAAGCTGAAGCAAAAAAAGTGGGTGATATGAGGAAATTGGTATGTTGGTCTGTGAGTAGATATGAAAGAGAGAAGCTGTTTTGAGCAACATAGAGACAAGTTAGGAGCTTGTAAGGATGATGAGCCTGTAATACAACAACTAACAAAAGAGAAAGAGTTTATGGGGGAGGGAGAAGGAATTCCAGTTTCTCAGTCATGAGACTAGTAAACACTGCCTCATACACTACATTACACACATGCTTTTGAAAGGGCATGTTTCCCTGTTAGACATGAAGAGACCTGTCATAGGAAAAGAGATGCTTAAATGTGATTAGAAGAAGAGGTAGTTATTTTATCTTTTACTCATCTGCTCTGTTTGTTTTTGGTATGAAGTGGGTCAGCAAAAGCCTGCGATCCAATTTTTAGAGCTAGATTTTTAATTTGTGATACTTGTCTATAGTGGTAAGCTTACAATGCCCTATTTACCATGTGGTTTTATTAAACCACACTAAAATGTAGACATGCTATGTTTGTCTTAAATACAGACACTGCATTTTTTTTTAGTTAGTTCCCATGTAGGTAAAGTTCTTCAATGGACCAAATTGGCAAGTCATTCTTAAGAATTTTCTTTGTCTTTCAAGCTTGGGAATTAATTTAGCTCTAACTGTAAAAGGTTAGCCAACTTGATCAAATAAAGCAGTGGCTGGTAAAATTAAATACTTGCTTTCTGACTAGTTTTGTCATTGGTCCTTTTTTTTTTTTGGCGTGAAAGGGGTTTTTTTATAGACAAGAGATCCATATAATAACCTCTCAGCAGA